GAAAAGGTTAAGGATATAAACTTTTAAGGTACAACAACCAACCTTATTTTGCCCAAAACATTTAGCAGAGGATGTTTGAACAAAAATGGATTGAGGGAGTTTTCTCTATAAATTCTATAGGAGTTTTAAAATCGGCATTGCAACACCATAGCCTTGATTCTAAGCTGTATTTCAAGCTATTAGCAAGATGCTAAAGTTACGAGTGCACTTAAGATACCTATAAAGTTCAGTCTGTTCATTTAAAAGAAGTTATAAATACTGTTAAATACAGCAGATCTTTCATTAACATAGGCAGCACTTATTGTCAGCATTTATTTACTTAAGTAAAAGAAGTAATTTTCTTGTGAACTTCCTGAAACTAAACAATTCTGTAAAGTAACAGCGTGTGGCAACTCGCACTAAATGCCGTGTTTCTGTACGACTGAACGGCCTCCTTACTGCACAAGCCATTACATTTGAAATGGCAGAGCCATAAGAATTTCTGTAGATTGTCCAGGTGATACCCTTAAAACATCTAGTGTCAGATGATAACAAATCATTTGTGATTTGGAGATTTTTTTGGTAGTCTCCACTTGTATGTTCAAGTGTTTCCAAGTGGAGGCACTACAATGAACTGCATATATCTACAGAGTAATCTCACAACCCAGATTGCAAACATGCTACAACTGACAATAAATAGGAATATGACTTTGGTTTTTCAATTGCGGCAATAAAGGATACACAGTTGGGTTGAAGTTCTTCAACACAAAGAACGAAGCAATGATGACCAAGACCAGAAAGAGGGTATTGTTGTAAAAGATGGAAAAAGTTGTTGCTTCATAATCTGCAACTTCATTTTTCTTCCACAGAATTCTGCGTACAAGTAGAGACGTTATTTCACGCATTTCTAATGTAATGTATAGGCTGACACACACAGCGTTATGAGGAGACTGACACCTAATAAAGTGTAGTAAGCCACACACTGCTGCTCTTGTCATAGCCAACTTCTAAAAGACGGGCACAGCAACAACTACCAGCCAGCTCATTAGCTAGAGATAAAACCTTATACGCTATGCACTTGCATATTTAACTGTCTTGTGTTTGTTTTACCATCATGCAAGCCAAACTTAACCCTCTATAAATAACACTTCTTTTTGTGACTTTGTATCTGTTAGACAGCCTGGCATACAGGTTGCATACTCAATTTTGCCAGCTATAACCATTAGGAGTGACAAGTACTGACTAGCAATACAGCCTGGCAGTATATGGAAATGCTATCGTGAAGGAACTTGCACTCCACTACACAAAATACATTGCAAATTCTGAAACCTCTGCACCAGCCTGTCCTTAAGAAAAGGAACTTTTGTCATTTCTGAAGACAGCTATGATGCTTGCTCTTCGGACACTTATTAGAAGAACTGTATGAAAAGGTGTTTTGCTTTGTGGTTCAAGGACAGAGTGGTTGCCTTATGAGCCCTTTTTGATAAAGGTTTCAAAGTCTGAGACCTTTCATTGATAACTCACCTCAAAAAAGCTTTGTAGATGAACAAAGAGCTGATAGTACAGCTTCTTCTTACTGGAACATATAGACAAAACAGACAAAGAGACTGTCTCTAAAATCCTATCCACAGCCTGGAAGATACCAAGCGACATTACAAGCAAAAGAAAGAAAGAAGGAAAAGAAAGAGGATTACCTTTCATCCTTCTCCTTACGAGACATCTTTCTGTTGTCTGCCTCAGAAAGCTTGCGAGTAACTTCTTTGGAAACCGCATCTTCCCTTTTCTGGGCTACTCTGTAAGAAACACCATTTATGTTAAAGTTTAAAAAAAAGAAAGAAAAATTGGATTATAGTAAGCTGTATTTATAGTGAAGAATAAAACAGCCAAGATAGTGAACAGATTTACCAAAGGACAGTTAGTAATAGTCAAATTACTAAAAATATAGTCAAATGTAGCTGCTGGCAATAGCCACTGAAAATATGGGTAGTCTTGCTATTTCATTGTACGCCTAATCAACAAGACTAGTTGATTCTATAACTACAAGAAAGACGACAGAAACCAATTATAAAAGAGATACTGACACCAAATAAAGAAGTCTGTCAAATACCTGACCCAAATGCCCTCCTCTGACTCTGTTTTTAACGATCTCAAGGCAACGGTTTGAAGAAAAGTCAGTAATTGCTCTGTCCATGCTGAGCACAAACAGTTTCAAATTGGCAGCCAATTATCTTGCTGAAGAGACTCTTTCAAAAGCAGGATATTTCACTTTTAATTGTGCTGCCTCTTAAACTGTTGTCACGGTCTCAAGAGAAGTGCGCTCAGAAAGTAAAACGGATCGTTTAATGTTTGAGGTATAACTTTCCCATTACAATTTCAAAGCTCACGCTTCGTTATTTATATTGTCATGAGTTAAAGCAATTCAGGAACTAATACAATGGAATATCAAAAGACAGCAAGATGCAGGACAAAACGGTTTCTCTCTTTCAACTTCTATATAAAACAAAGTAGTTCTTCACTGTACTATTTCAGATAGTTTTACTCATCAGAAATTTTTGTAAACGCTGTTTTCGTTAGTTTCTTTAAGTCGTGCTTCAAACGGTCAGCAAACTTACTTGTGCTTGAGAACAAACTTGACGTTCTTATAGGCAAAAGCTACTAGATAGGTACTGATGAGGGTCATTACGCTATACAGGACTGCAGACTGAACAAGATCCATATGCCATATCCTCCAATAAAGCCCTAAAAAGAAAAATAAAAAAACATTAAAAGCAATTTCTCTCTTCAAGCAAAATGTCTCCACAGGAGTCCTGCTTAGCTTATTAGCTCTAATTCAGTACCAGCTCTGCTGGACCAAAGCCAGTTCCTGCAAAGTCATCTGGGTGTCTCCCGACTGCATTACAAAATGCCTTCAGAAAGAGAAATGTGCTACACTTTTCATTTATGTGAGCTTTATGAGATTAACTCAAACTCAACTCAGAAGCACCAAAAGAGCATAGCCTAAAGATTGCCGGTTGACTGTACGCAGAGTTGGTGCTGGCACATCGACATTTGGTCTGCAGCTCATTCCTCCTTACGCCACCCAACGCCCTGCTCCAGGCAGGGCCAACCTCAAAGCTGGACCTTACACGGTACAGAGCCAGCCCACCTAACGCTGCATGGGTCCTGCTCAAGGCCAGCAGGGCGCAGAGCAAGGCAAGCCCCAACAGCGCAGACGCCCTGGGCTGCGATGGAGGCCTCCGCGCCCCCGTCCCG